TCAGTTTTTGATCCACCAAATTTTTAATATTTTAGTCTTGGTAGTATTAACCTTAAGTCTCCAGTGTATACAATAATTATGAAATGAGTCTAACATATGTTTTAGATCATAAGCTATAGCACTCATCATCTGCGTACAGTTATACAAATATTGTGATAATATTTTCGATTCGACCATAGAATTCATCTGGTTTCAATTGGACACCTTTACATAAATCCTGTACAAGAGATACTTCGAGGTCATTTAGAAATATTGCAAACAAGACAGGTTTTCTCCTTGTCTTACTCCAGATTTACATGAAAAGAATCCTGTTGAATTACCATTACAGGAAACCGTGATTTGATATTCTGGTAAAAATTATAAAATAACTTTAAAACAGTTTCCAGATATGTTATTTTTTAATAGTTTTTGCCAAAGTCCTGATCGCAGAACGTGTCAAATGCTTTTTGAAAATTTACAAATGCACAAAGTAATTTCTTTTTCCTAGCTTTTAATGAGGTTTATATAGAGCAAAATTGTGATCACTGGTAGAATAACCCTTTCTGAAATATGCCTGAGCTTCCGACAGTATGGAGTTCGTTTCGATGAATGTTTGTAAACGGTTACTTAAAACTTCTGTAAATAGTTTACCAAAACAGCTTAGCAGGGTGATAGGTCTGTAATTTTCGGGGGTTTGTGGGTCACACTATACCCTTAAAAATGGGTTTGATAACACCTGCTAACCATTTTTCTGGGAATGTACCAGTATCAAGAACCATGTTAGAAATATTAATATAGATATCTATAAAGACACCAATGGTGTTTGAAATATATTCATTAATTATATTGTCAAGACCAGCAGCTTTGTTACTTTTTAAATTCTGCACACAGTTTATAATTTCACCTCTTGTTATAGCTGCATAAGGTATTGTGTTTTCTTTCATGTTTACTTCACGTAGATTATCAATACCAATGTCGTCATCTGCCGAAACTTCATTTAAAGATTTTAAAAGCTGAATAATGATTCACTATCGGGTAGGTTTTCATCGCCAGACTGCCTTTGCTTAAGAAGTTTCCAAAATTAACGTGGGTCATTTCTCTCAACATGATATAATTTGTCTTGAAGTTTTTTTAATGCATATTTGGCGGGGGCTTGTATCGGTTTCCTGTCTTAACGCTTGGGGTGAAAGGGGCATATCGATGTTTTTTGTTAGTGTCACAGTGATAGGTGAGTGGATATCTGAGAACAATGGTTCAAAATCAAGGACCTCGAAATCTTCTATTCTTGGGAAAACATTAGCGCTCGCTACAGCATAATCAACCATGCTTACTCCTTTACATGTAACTTTGCCAACTCCTTTGTCATGTCCAACTCGGCCTTTGCAAATGTATAGATTATTGTTTTTACCAAAATCAACTGGCTTATAACCATGTGAGGTGGGATTCCCCACATCCTGACTTAACCTTTCTAATAATACATTAGCATATTTTAGTCTTTCAACATCATTCATATAGTCAACAAAATCGTTAGTAAATATCTCTTCGTTGATAGAGCTTGAGTTTGTTGTAATAAAATCTGACAAAGTACGTGTCCTTGCATTGAAATCACCAATGATAAAAATACTATTGCCACAATCTACTGATAACTTACACGAGATTTCATTATGTAGCTTGAGAAATATTTCGTCAGAGTAATATGGCGAGCCCTCTGGTAGGATATATGACATACAGATATATACATCACCATTACAAGATACATTTAATATTTCATGGGAAGCGAGAAATCATAGAGTATATTCCAAGGATTCGGCTATTCTATGAAAATGCTGTACGTATTCATGCTTTATTGCAACGGTTATACCGCATGATTTTCTTCCAGTACTTGTAATTCTAGGTTTATAAATCATTGCATATCCAGGAGTGTCAATACAATCAAATTCATCTAGTTTTGTTTCAACAAAGCATAGCATTTCATAGTTTGTAATAAAATTCAGGAGTAAGGAATCCAGATTTGAAACCACACACATTTAAGAAAATCATTTTACAATGAGAACCATCACTGTTACGTGATATGAAAGCGTCTGTTTGCGAGGGCTCATACACAGGTTGCTCTGTTCGTATATCATTATCTGCACGTACACGAATATCGTCACAATTAGATTCACATGCTTTTTTGTTGTTGGATGACTCACTAGTGTTATTTGTAAAATACACATCACAATGATTTTCACGCACAACATTTAGCGAGATATTTACATTGTCATTTGCATTGACAGTATTAGGCCTATGTCCATTCTATGCCTTGAGATGTGTTATATCACGATCCTCTTCGATTCGTCGCATCTTGCATAGTTGTCTATCTCGGGAATGCTCAAGAACATTGGCATACAAAGGTCTGAGTGACCACATCGGCTGTCTCGTATTCAAACGGATTCCCACCAGGGAAACACCTTATTGTTAATAAACAGTCTATCAACAGTTAGGCTTGCCTTAGTCGCCGTTCAACGATTTCTGTTGGGAACTGTTCACTGACACCAAACGTTGTGTCCTTGAGGTTCTTCGCACTGGCTAGAACGTTCCATCTCTCATCAGAGTTAGAGCACTTAGCCACCATCGTACTGGGTCTGTTTTCATTTCGTGGTCCCATTCTATGAACTCTCACAAGGTTAATCACTGTGTTACACTTCATCTCTTCGCCAATCATCTCCCGTATGCCATAAAATAGGAGGTTGTCGCTCATTGATCTCACTTCGAGATCCACTTCAGCCTCTTTCATATCCCTCTGTTGATGGTACATCGTAATATACATCATCCGCATCACTAGCAATTCTAGCACATTCCGACGAAGTGTAGTATATATGCTCTGTCAGCCTCTTTCGTTCTTTAGTGCTTGCAGATTTAAGATCCAGGCTTGCTGAGGCACAATTCTGAACACAAGACTCAAGTTTACCTACCCTTGTGATAGTCTGCTTCAGGGTATTTTCAAGCGAGGTCATTTTACCATCATTCATTGTGAGTTTATCATCAATACTGTCTACTCGCTGCACTTTCTGCTGTACATAGTGTACCATGCCAGTCAGTTGACGCATCTGGTCAAACAATGTCTTGACCCAACTAGTATTATTCGAATCAACACTGACCTGAGTCTGAGATCCCGATATGTTCAGCTGGCTTGGATAGTCCATATCCTGTGTATTTCCCAATGTCATTGGTGGGTTAGCCAGTTGTTGAGTAAATCCCTGGGGGGTTAGAGATGTCATATTCGGTGCGATTTGTCCTTATTATAGAGATGTCACCAGTTCGCTGCACCAGTTACGTCACGAAACTTCTCAATCGCGAGAGCTATTAAAAACACGTCTGCACTGCTCGGCATCCATGCGCAGAATCTTTCAACGCTTACTCCTTATGTGTTATACAGAATTGTAATGTTATAAGGATTGGATCCAGAAGCAAAATATCTATGGTATGTACAAAAGACCATCGCTAATGATTATTATCTCCATGTCATCTTGAACTGCGAATGTATACTTTCAGAGAGAGACGAATTCTTTCCTACTCTAATTGATAATCTTGATGTTGAAATGTACGTTAAAATAGAGATGATGGGAGACCATGATATGTTAGCATTCTTTCTTGGTGCGGATAACAATGTCATTTATCAAATAACGTGGCATTTTACTATTGTTCAATTAAAAAAGTATTCATATCAAATCAAAAATATCCTACACAACGTGTTGTAATATTCCCAATATTTCTTACCATTTATAGCCTGTATATATGGCCGGGCATTGATATATATGTTTGATTTTTTTATTATCTAATTATTTAGTTTTGATATTTTGAGAATCTTCGGATTTATCGGGAGTAAATAAAGACATTCATTCATTCATGCGCAGCCGTGTGTTCGCTTTGCAGTGGACAAGCTCATGCATATGTTATATCATACGAGAAATGCGCCCATAACAATGCTTCTTGCTTATTGGAAGTAAAATGAGCTTATGGTATGGCCTGTTCATTCATGGCCAGCGTTCGGAAAACACTCAACTAATGAAGCTGATAGTTCAATACTTTCTAATATTGTTTGAATGCCACATCAGACCATATTGAAAACCATAACTGATGTAATTATAAAGCCGTTTCTGTTCAAAATGTTATGTAATTTGATGCAAATGTAGATAATAGTGTGGTTCAATCCATGTTCTGTTTTTCGCGATTTTGACCTTGATTTGTTCTTATCACTTCGCATCTTCTCATTTTACTTCAAAATGCAATTCCTCGCATTGCCAACATCATCTCAGAAACCACTTGATCAATGAAACTGAAACTTCACAGCTGAATTTATTTCGATGTTTGACGAGACCTTCAGTACTTCCACCATGAATGTCTTATAGCAATGCTATAATGGCCATTATTCAGCCTCTTTTGGTCAAGTTGTTTCGCAATTTTGTATGTGTATATTACGCAGTGGTCCATGGGGCTTTACATATCTGTTCAGTTTTTGCGCCATTTAAAGATTAAACCCAGTTTTGACCTTTGCTCTTCAACAATACTGTAGACAAAAAAATGTCATGGACATTACCTAGCCATTGCTACTCAATGTGTGATGGAATTTGGATAGTATGGATGGCAACAGCGCGTCTGAACACAACTGTTCCATTTTTACAATGCTCCTAAACTTCCCGAAACGTCGTCACATCAGCTACATTGTAAAAATTCATTAAGGGCCTGCTGACACCTTTCTCCTCAAAATGTATTGTAATGAAACCTTAAAGTTCAAAATGCATCCTTGCATACATCTGCTCCTCTGACACTGCTAGACTGTGTCAGCAGAATGTTATGTTTCTCGTTGTGATAACATCATATTTTGATCAAATCATTTGGACATAAACAATTTGAATATCATTAGCAATATCATTCTCCTCAGAAGGTATGCAAGGTTCAGAATTCAAACATGTTGTAGAATTAGAAACACTGTACTATCCCATCAAATTACAAAATGCATGTTGTTTTATTTTTTCTAGGTACGAAAGTCAAAGGTGAACCAACATTTACAAAATGTCAATGACCTTCATATTTATCTTGCTTTTAGGTGAGTATGCCGATATTTCACCGTTCCACGTTAATAGAGATTGATGGAATAATGTAAGACAAATCATTCCATACTTGTTCTGGACTTGACACATGTATTTCAAAACATAATATGAAAGGGAGTAAAGGGAAAAAATCATCCCATAAAGGTGTAAATTGCTGTAAGTTCTATCAGGTTTGTAAAAACAGTCATGATAGGTATTATAGTTCAGTTGTTGCTTACGCTATAGACTTAAGGAAATATTCCACTACACTCTTAAAAAGAAAGAAACGCACAGGTAGTATGTAGTTCATTAAACCTGACTACACAATCAAATCCGGTATATAAATTGGATATATGTTATTGGAAAATGTTAGTGGCCTGATATTCATCTAAACGCAGCCATTGTCGATTTGCAATGCCTTAAACGTCATTCTTTTCACACTTGTTCACAAATGTCATGTAGAGAAACATTAAAGCAAAATGCACCTGCAAGTTATGGCATTCGTAACTCGTGGTAGTGGCTATGAAAAGGCAAGCATAAGCCAATAATTTGTCATTCAATTGTCAACATTTTTCAAAATCGAAAATGTCGAGACTCAGCGTTACCGATCGGAACTCAAGCAGAATGGCGCAGAATGACGCAGGACAAAATTCGTACACTTATCCAGTCAGTGCAGAGGAGATTGCCACCTGGGAAGGGCACACGAGATACTTAGTTCAGCGCAACCTTGTGGCCTTACGTGACATGGCAATAAACAGTTTTCAATGCCTTTGTACAACAAAATACGGACAGACACCAAAATTTCATATTTGTATCTATGATCTTAATTAATTATTGCGACTTTATTAGGTACAATAAATTTACTACAAATCTACTTTTGCGTTACCTTTTTGGAAGAGTTTATATCACTTAGCAATGGCTTGAACTATAACTCCCATAAGTAAAAAGGGTACAAAACTATTCATATTTGTGTACAGGTCTTCCTCTACGATCACATACTTTCGAGACCATCTTGTTCTCTGCCTTCAACTGCTTATGTAAAGCAATTACATACTTGACTAACAACTTATGGTAATGGTAATAGATAGACTCGTTTTGCTTCATGTACATGTGTGTATCTACAAACAATAGATTAACATTTGTTGTGTTGCAGTTCCAGTATTTGTTTCTATGAAGCGTTGTGGTCCCGGAATCTATGGACAACGTTGTGACAAGCCGTGCAATGTGAACTGCCACCCTCACACCAACAACAATACATATTGTGATAAAGACACCGGGAAATGCTTACAGGGTTGTGTTTCCGGATGGAGTAGTGACCAATGCAATTTCCCTTGTAGCAAGACTTGCATTGGTAACGTATGCAGTCAACAAACTGGGCGGTGCACAAAAGGTTGCAAAGGAATCTACAGAGGGGATATGTGTGACGAATATGAAGGTATAATAATTAAACTTCGTGTTTCTGCATTCAACTTTTGTTCATTCGCAGCCCATTCATGTCAAACACACAATCACATAATAAGCCGGAAATAAGGCTCAGTGGCACCACAGTATCCAAGGATCTAATTGACAAACATGAAAGGATATAGTCCATTACATTGATACAAACATGACCCTCTGCACCTATACATCAGAGTAATTACAGTTAAACTGTAATGTCAACTGCTGTTATGTACTGATGATATTGCTGAATTTGAGTGTAGCTATGATCCTACTTTTGTACAGGGTTTTCTCTATCATCAAGTGCTTTCCATTCCATTCTGCTATCTTCGATCCAATGGTAATGTAATCCCATATGATACTTGTCTGAGAACTTATTAATACATGTACAGACATGTGTTCCTTCTGATAAAACAAAAATAAAAATAAATATATTTTAAAGTAACTACGTAATCCGTGGTTCACGCAATTAATGTTGGGCCAATTTGAATGCTAGAACAGGTATAATTTTCGTATTTCCGCAAATCCTAGGAACAAGCAAACCCCTTCAAACTACATCCTCTGTACTTTTTTGTTGAGATGTTGAATATGTGTGTGTCCTGTACAAGTGTTCATCTACAAACAACTGATTAATGTTAATTGTGTTACAGTACCCAGAGTGTCTTTCTACAACCACGCCTCAGTATTGTCAATGGTTAAGTTTACTCTCATACCTGAAGAAAAGTCTATTCCTCCTATGTACTATATTCCAAAGCTCCATAAGATAAGAACAAAGATGTATATATTGCTGGGTCCAAAGAAAGTACCACCAAATCCCTGTCACAAAGGTTAACCATAATCCTTACTACAACCAAGGATATACTTTTATAAATGCAGAGCAATTATTTAAAACGCATGGATTTTCTTGCAATGAGGAGTCTCCAAAACTTAAAGAATGTGTGCAGTCTAAGAAAATAACTAAGTTCAATTCTGTCAAATCATTTGATTTTTCAACTTTATAAACTTCTATCCCACACAACAAACTGAAGGAAAGACTTTATTCCTTGAAGAATGGGGCATTTATCACAAAATTTGGTGACGATAGATATAGTTTCATCCTTATGTGCAAAGGTTCACGCTAATTTGTCAAAAATGAAAGCATATGTCATCAATAGTTTACAGTGATGAGAATATGTGAATTGCGAGGTTTCTACATTGAAAACATCTATTTAAATTTGGGAATAAGACATTTAGGTAAGACATGGGCATCCCCATCGAAACCATTTGTGCTCATCCTTTTGCTGACATGTTCCCTTACGCATATCAATCGGAATAGAAGCTCGGATTACTAGAATCCAAAAGCGGACATTTGGCCAAGAAGCTTTACTTAAGCTTCAGATATATCGATGATCAGATATCTTTAAAAAAATGCCAAACCACCAATTTCCTTCCACTGATTTACCCACCTGAATGAGAAATAAATAATAGAGACCAATCAAACAGCCTCAACTGTTTCATATTCAGCTCGATAAATAAAGATCCAGAGTGACAAAATGCTTCGCACAAGAGTGATCAAACAACCTTTGACCAAGGGTCGTGCGACGCTCCTCGAACTCTTAGCTTGGTCACAATCGATCACTTGGTGAACAAAAAATAGGAATCAGAAGCTCTACACTGTACAAGGATCTTACTAACAAACTGGGGGATATTCATTCCTATTTTGAAACGACTGTTTATTGATATTATGCCGAGGTCAGAGGCATGTAGCAAGTTCAATAATATACATGTATGATTTTAGTATGTCTCCAAATTGTATTGAAAGAACAACCCTTTAAACAACAGCCGGACCCGGCTCTGTACGTTCTTTGTATTGTTGATGAACCCATTTTGCTTCATGTACATGTGTCCATCTAATATATATTGTGTTGCAGTTCCAGTGAGGATTTCCAAGAAGCGTTGTGGTCAAGGGTTCTATGGAAAACGTTGCGACAAGACGTGCAATGTGAACTGCCACCCTCACACCAACAACAATACCTATTGTGATAAAAACACTGGGAAATGCTTACAGGGTTGTGTTTCCGGATGGAGTAGTGACACATGCAATTTCCCTTGTAGCAAGAACTGCATTGATCACATATGCAATCAAAACACTGGGTGGTGCACAAAAGGTTGCAAAGGAAACTACGGAGGGGATATGTGTAACGAATATGAAGGTAGAATAATTAAGTTTCGTGTTCATGCATTCAGCTTTGGTTCATTCGCACCGCATTAATGTCAAACACACAATAGCATGATAAACCGGAAAAAAGGCTCAGTGGCTCCACAGTGTCCAAGGATATAACTGTCAAACATGAGAGGATATATTCCTTAGAGGTATAACTGCGAGATTACAAAGATACAAATAAGTCATTCTGCACGTACACGTTAGAGTAATTACAGCTCAACTTTTATGTCAACTGCTGTTATGTTCTGACGATGTTGCTGACTTTGAGTGTAGTTATGATGCTACTTTTGTACAGTGTTTTCTCTATGATCAAGTGCTTTCCATTCCATTCTGCTATCTTCGATCAAATGGTAATGTAAACCTATGTAATACTTGACTAAGAACTTATTAATACATGTACAGACATGTATACCTTCCGATGTAACGAAAAAATAATTTAATACATTTAAAAGTAAGTATGTATTCAGTGGTTCAAACAATTAATGTTGGCCCAATTTCAATGCTAAAACAAGAATAATTTTCGTATTTCCTCAAACCCTAGGACTAAAACTACACCCTCTGTACGTTTTGTGAGATGTTGAATATATGATTTTCACGTACAAGTGTCCATCTACAAACAACTGATTAGTATCAATTGTGTTGCAGTACCCAAAGTGTCTGCCAAATCCACGCATCAGTATTGTCACCTTTTGATTTTATTCTAATGCCTGAAGAAAAGTCCATTCCTCTTTCGTACTGTATTCCAAAGCTCAATAAGATAAGAACAAATATATATATATAGATATATATATATATATATATTGCTGAGCCCTACGAAAGTACCACCTAATACCTGTCACAAAGATTAACCATAATCCTTACAACAACCAAGGATATACTTTTATAAATGCAGAGCAATTATTGAAGACGAATGGAATTCATACAATGTTGAGTCTCCAAAACTTTAGGAATTTGTGCAGTCTAAAAAAAAGAACCAAATTCAATTCTGTCAAAACATTTGATATTTAAACTTTGTAAACTTCTACCCCACGCGACAAGCTTAAGGAAAGACTTTATTCCTTGAAGCATCGGGCATGTGTAACAAGATTTGGTGATGACAAAGATAGCTTCATCCTTATGTTCAAAGGCTCATGCTAATTGTCATCAATACTTTACAGTGATGACAATATGTGAATTGCAAGGTTTCCTCATTTATAACATCTATGTTATTTGGGGATAAGACATTTGGGCAAGACGTGAGCATCCCCATCATAACCATTTGCGCTCGTCTTCTTGCTGATCTGTTTCTTTCAGCATATCAATCGGAATTTCAGCTCCGGTAGCTCGAAGCAAAACACGGACATTTGGCCAAGAAGCTTAACTTAAGCTTACAATATATCGATGATCTATGCATAAAGATTCAGAGTGACAAAATGCTTCACACAAGCGTGATCAAACAACCTTTGACCAAGGGTCGTACGACGCTCTTTGAACTCTTCGCGTGGTCACGTGATGAAGTAACAATCACTTGATGAACCAATAATAGGAATCAGAAGCTCTTTACTATACAAGGATCTTACTGACAAACTGGACGTTCTACTTTTCTGTTTTGAAATGACTGTATATGTATGCCAAGATCAGCGGTCAGAGGCATGTAACAATTTAAATAATATACATGTATCATTTTAGTATGTCTTCAAATCGTAGTAAACCAAACAAAATTTCAAAGAACAACAGAAACCGGATCTGTACGTTCTTGTTATAGTTGATGAAATCGTTTTGCTTCATGTTCATGTGTCCATCTACAAAAAATTGTGTTGCAGTTCCAGTGAGGATTTCCAAGAAGCGTTGTGGTCCCGGAATCTATGGAAAACGTTGTGACAAGCCGTGCAATGTGAACTGCCACCCTCACACCAACAACAATACATATTGTGATAAAGACACCGGGAAATGCTTACATGGTTGTATTTCCGGATGGAGTAGTGACAAATGCAATTTCCCTTGTCGCAAGAATTGCATCGATCACATATGCAACCAACAAACTGGGCAGTGCACAGAAGGTTGCAAAGGAAACCACAGAGGGGATATGTGTGACGAATATGAAGGTAGAATAATCATTAAGCTTCGTGTTCATGCATTCAGCTTTTGTTCATTCGCACCACATTCATCATAAACACACAATCACACGATAAACCGGAAATAAGGCACAGTGGCTCAGCAGTATCCAAGGGTGTAACTGTCAAATATGAGAGGATATATTTCATAAGCGGTGTAACTGCGAAATTACAATGATACAAAAATGTCGCTCTTTACGTACACGTAAGAGTAATTACAGTTCAGCTGTAATGTCAACTGATGTTATGTACTGATGATATTGTGGAATTTGAGTATACCTATGCTGCTACTTTGGTACAGGGCTTTCTCTATGATCAAGTGCTTTCCATTCCATTCTGATATCTTCCTTCCACTGGTAATGTAATCTCATATGATACTTGTCTAAGAACTTACTAATACATGTACAGACATGTATACCTTCTGATGAAACAAAATAAAAAATAAAAACATTTTAAAGTACCCACGTATTCAGTGGTTCAAACAATTAATGTTGTAACAATTTCAATGCTAAAACAAGTATAATTTCCGTATTTCCTCAAATCATAAGAACAAGCAGTAGTATAGGTAATGGCGGTTCTAGCTCACTACACTGGAGCCAGATCTATACCCAATATCTATACTACAGAGGGAATTTTTAGTGCAAAAACGATGATGTGATTCAACGATCGTCATGAGACTAAGCTAAATTGTAATGAAAATTGCTCCAGCTCAACACCACCTGGGCTATTTTCGAACCCTATCAACGCTTCTATATATCACAGAGGTATTTTGTTTATAAATAAACGATGATGTGATTCAATGAGACTAAACTAAATTGTAATGAAATTATTCTCTATTATTTCTACTCATACACATAGCATTATTTTGAACAAAGGGTTGCAACGGGCGATAGTCCCATATAAATAATACTGCAACGTTAACATTGGTGTTTCTTAAGCCATTTTAATTGATAGACCTGGTAATATCTCGAAGGCATCTACTGGTGCATCTCCAAACAAGACTTCAATAATAAGTGTAGAAAGATCAGGTATAACATTCAAGTTATTCAATATATCATTGAATTCAGTAACCAAATTTAAATTAACATTTTTTACTGCCGGACGACTCAATAATAAATGACCTTGGTCATCTGGCAGGGGAGCGACTAACACATGCTTTCGTTTTGAGGGGATATAAGCCCCGAGTTTGATCCAACTATTCATTATCTTAGTTAAATGATGTCCCTTACCCGTCGTCACAAATGGTGGTGTAATGACGATATTCAATAGCCACTCGATTTTTGCTTCGACCATAGTCGATTCATTATCATCATTGAAAGTAAGATTGTATGAAGTGTTTTTATTGAGTCTACTGACGTCAACATCATTGAAATCTCCTGGATTAGGTGCAGGTGCTGTGTATACAACTTCTTTCCGCTTGTATACATTATCTTGTAAGTGTAAAAGCATATTACTTACCATCAGTACCGGGTTTATCAAATCTTTCTCTGTCTCCAATATCGAAAAGTGCAATTGTATTACATTGTCTAAGGTTGTGTGTTCCAGGGCCTGATGAATCAACCATTATTTATAATATGAAGTGTCACACTCAAATATCTGAGTACAGGTTGATGTTTTACATCTGATACAGAAATTTTGAGATCTGAAATAATACCTTGCTTTAACTTTTTAAATTGTAATGTTGAGAAAGATTCCGTTCTACCATTATTGTATTTTTCATCTTTGACTGGAGTGAGTGAGTGAGTGAGTGAGTGAGTGAGGTTTTACGCCGCTTTTAGCAATATTCCAGCAATATCACGGCGGGGCACACCAGAAATGGGCTTCACACATTGTACCCATGTCGGGAATCGAACCCGGGTCTTGGGCGTGACGAGCGAACGCTTCAACCACTAAGCTAGCCGACCGCCCAACTTTGACTGGAATAGCTCTTAGCAGAGTTGAAGGCCTTTCGAGTTGAATATTATCCGTTGTACTGATCTGATCAAGATTGATGCATAACTCTTTATAGGGAACTAAATCAGGTAATTTAACTCCATGCGTTGGTGTGTTGTACAATACTTCTCCCCTTCTAAATCCAATTGTATCTGCTAAGTCCGTGTCAAGTTGGTTTGGTTGGTTTGTTGTTTAACGCCGCACTCAGCAATATACCAGCTATATGACAGCAGTCTGTAAATAATCGAGTCTGGACCAGACAATCCAGTGATTAATATCATGAGCATCAATCCACGCAATTGGGGTCGATGACATGCATCAACCAAGTCAGCGAGCCGGACCACCCGATCCCATTAGTCGCCTTTTACGAAAAGCATAGTCACTTTTTACGGCAAGCATGGGTTGCTGAAGATCTATTCTACCCCAGAATCTTCATGGGTCAACCCTGTCAAGTAACATACCCTGTGCACCACTGCTTTAAAACAGCACCCTATTCGACTCATTTTGTGTGAGACTAGCTCCAAAAGGCTTAAAAATGTCATCACTGAGTGAGCATACACTGTAATACCCATCTGTTATAGTGCGAAGTTTTATATCTATAAATAACACATTATTACCTCTCGCAGCACTTAAATTGGTCCACCACGGGTAATATGTTGTATTGCAGAGAGCAACTTCAAGATGCCCAGCCGAGTTGTCGATAGCGTGAAGCAGTTGAATAGACTTGCCATTTGTTATCCCCGGGAGTGTAACATACATATTAAATATACAAAGATATTATATCATAACTTAAATATGAAATAAAAATTACATTACGAATCAGTCGATTTTAGTAAGAGCCTTTGGTGCTAAGTTTTTTGTTCATTTCCCTGATATCTTTGAAAAAAAAAAGGTTTACAGCAACTAGTAACAAAATGGTGCATGATTGGTTCCAGAATCCAATGCAATTTTGGCAAAACCAGTTACTCTTTGCAATGGTGTGCCACAACTTGATGTGATGCCGGCTTTGAACTGAATAAGTCTGTTTTATCATTTCATGTATACTATCAGATTAGACGTATACTTAAAGAAATGAGTGCCCCATTACCGCAGGATCGAGCATGTAATGCATCAAATAATCTGTACAATAGCTTCGCGTATGAACGTATTTGTCAGGAATTTGATATTTGATAAAACAGAGAATAATTTTACTAACCCAGGAGTTGTAAGAGTCAAAGAATCAATAAGAACTTATGTTTGGGCAATTCTTGGTGCACAATCTCAAACACGAACAGGAATAATTGGTTCTGGGACGGAGCTCGATGCACAAAAACAGTTTGTTGCAAACGTAGAGGATGTTATTAATTCACCAGTTGACATACCATCTTCTATAAAGCGTTATCAAGATGTATTACAGTACGCTCAATCCAAAGTAGACTACGTTTATGGGGCAGGACTATACATGTCTCCAAGTGATATGGAACTTAAGTGATAGGACATAATAATAAAATTGGTCTTGCTACATCACAAAAACCAGGTATACATTCAGATATTAACCCTGAATTAATAACACAAATAAACACAGGCGAAACAGGAATAGTCAAACCACAGATATCTTCTGTAACAGAAACACAACAGCCACAAGTGTAAAACCACATATTGAAGCTAAAATCCATAACATATCGATGAAAAAACAAAGCTTCTACTAGTTCGACTCACGGCTGGTTTACCCATGATTTGGGGAAATAGTCTTTCGCGGACACGTACAACAGTCCTGCAATTGCTACGATCACAGCCCACAAGTTTTGACTAAGCCAAGTGCCGGTCTTGGCTAATAAATTCAAGAGCCAGGATACAATGCTACCTATTATACTGGGAAGTGCAGACGCGACTTTCCCAGCGAGCTTTCCCACTGCTTCCCCTAATGCCTTTAAATGCTTTTTATCCACTCTTTTACACCAGTCGACGTGGGTGGTGTAGGTGTACCACTGCCTCCCCCCCCCCCCCCCCCCCCCACCCCCTCCCACCCCCTCGTTAACGCGAGTCAAAGTTGATATAATAAATCCCAATGTGTTTAAAATACTGCTAATGGTTATCCCCTGTTCTCTGAAAAATGTTTTAATTTTCTCAGCCAGTGTTGTATCATCATTGAGGACTTGATCGATAGTTTCTCGAATTCGACTGATTTGTGAACGAAGTGGCTCTCTATTAGTGGAAGCTGCTTTGAGGCGGGCCAATCTTTGTCCTCTAAGTTACACTATCTTTCGGCAATGCGGCGTCTACTCAATTCATCGCCACTGTTTTCAAGTTATGTTTTCTCATAAGAAATATGCTTGTCGAATTCATCTAGTCGGTTATATTATTGATGAGTGATCCCCGCATTGTTTGCATTGCCTTGTCAAGACCTTGTAATTCCCTTATATTGTACTCCAAGGGTTTGTACCTGTAACGTGGAATTATCGTAAGTTTCCAAGATTTCTTCGAGTCCGTCCGAGACCTGCTTAGGTGGTACATCTTCCAAATTATCTTTATCTATGGCAGCCGCACTTGCACCGTGTTCAGTATGCACAGTCTGAAGAACCTGAGTATTCTTTGCAGAAAGTTTTGCTCATGAATTGTCGTAGTAACTATAACTAATAACCAAAGTACCATTGATCAGAATCAAACACTTCTGGTTTGCTTTCCTAATCTCGGCGCTCTTGATGTGTTAGTTCCAGGAATTGCCTGACTATCATTTACAATTAATTTGACTTCTACCGACGTTAACAGGGAGCTTGTTCAGAACAAAGGTCGTCCAATTGTTAAGAAAATTATGATTAAAATTAGCGGTAATGAGGGTTTGAGTATTGATGACAGTGATGTATACTTCTGCTACATGGATCTCTTGAGAACGTTGAAAGAACGGGAAACCTTACAGTATCAAGGTATCGCACAGGCACTAATCGGAATATAATAAAAATGCGTGTGGGTGCTGAAAATTGCAGTCCTGACAGACCAGAAGATAATGCTGTTGTTGCTGCATTGTTAAACAGATTCTATATTCCGCTCGACTTTGAATTACTAGATAGTCACCTGCCCTT